CTCGTTACCTCTGCTGCCGTAGTATTTCTGCAACAACCAAGGCCTGTGGGTGCAATGTATTTATGACTACCATTCTTAGCGAGCACGCTAGAGTACCTATAGAAGAGCCCAAATCTCATAGTAAGGGAGACGAACGACTGAAGGAAGTCGTTACATCTGAGTCCAATGAGAAGCATAATCGACAACGGCGAACATGACCAGGGGAAGGTATAGAGCCGGGTAGAAGTGACTCAGAATGAGCGCCAGGATGTTGGAGGAAATCCTATCAGTTACCATGTCTAGTACCTACGCTTTTCCACTCGAGTGAAAGCAAGAATAGCAGTCTAATGCATTACAGCTCCGAACATGCTGCACTCGTTGAACCGTCTGGCAGCAGCACCATCGAAAGCGTCCAACATCTGCGACCAGAAGTAGCAGAAAACGAACGCCTTCCAGTTACTGAGTGAGAACCGACAATTAACCAAAGCTCAATCTCAGCAGACAGGAGATATTACTCGAATGCCACATAGAAGCTGATGAGCATTAGGGCCACTCTAGTGTAGCCGATAAGGTTCGGAACGAAGAGATAAACAGAAACCATATTCGGAAAGGAATACTGCGGTGATACTAATGAACTGCAGAAGGAGCCAGCATGAAAAATGATCGTAGTTCGGTGAAGTAGTGCCGCAAGGCAGAATGATGTCCTTAGCATGCTTTGACGTATTAGAGCCATTGAGGAGCCAGACGAAATTCCACAAGGGCTGCGCTGTGGTAGTGCAGAAGTTGTGCTAGCTTCCATGAGAGAGGGTTGTTGCTCTATCATATTATTATCTACGATAATTTGTCGCTAGGCCTAAAACGAATATCGAAAGTGTTCAACCGAAGATCTAAGCAGTTGTATGACATTATAGAGAGCTAAGCGGTTGACATTCGGGAGGTCCCGGGTTCGATCCCTGCTCATGGAACAGTTTTCTGTCATTCATTGGAGGAGCTCGAATCGAAGTATCGTGAAATCATATCCTTTCAGTGTTTCTGTATCACCAATATGAACTTTTTCGTCGCCATT